GACTGGCGCGGCGCACCGGCCATTTCCTCGCCCAGTACGTCCCATGCGTTTCCGCCGGCTACAACGCATGGGCTCCCCTTTCATTCGCCGCGGGAGCTCTCTAGATGAGGATCTAGCCAGTAATTAGGTCTAGAGAAGGAGATGTACTCATAATTTCCTACTAGTCCGGCAAGACATTCACGCGTTTGTAATCGCACGTCCAGAACGCGCACAACCGGTTTCAGGTGCGCATACACTCAATGCAGAAGGCGCCGAAGCAGAGGTGACTAAGCAGTTGATCATATCTGGATTCGACTAGTAGCGACCAGCAGCTCCAGTTCTTCGAGTCATTTACTATGTACTTGCAGTCTCTGTCAGTATGTGTGCTCTCGGTATACCCCCAGCGTCAAAATATGCTCATAAACCTTGGTTCTGCACGTGAGCTTTCGGCGCTAGCTCCTTCAAAAAGATTGATGCCAACACTATGGAAGACAAGTCGGCACTAGCCTGTCGATATTCAAGGATTGCGAGAGCTTGACTGCCAATGGTGTTTCTTGCCCCGGATAGAAAATGCGAAGGGTGATCTCTGATTATTTACCTTACATATATCAACTGAAGCTAGCTGGGAGCCCGTTGAACCTGGGTCTTTTCGATTGACTCCCAGCGCAGGATGCCGACAGGTTTTTCAACGTAATGGGGTCTGCTGACCCGGGATCTACACTGTAACCGTCAGAATAAATTCACTACTCATGATGCCACTGTTAAACACCCCAGCAGTGGCGCAGGTGCCAGCCTAACGTGTTGGTAAAATGGTGGGTCCTGGGCTTATAAAATTCTGCGCGGTACATACCGTTAGAATGCAAATGAGGCGACCGAGTTGATGTCCAAATGGTTGGGATGGGGGCGTCATTCTGGCGCGCTTAGTACTGGAATGAATGCAGTAACCGATTGGAAAACACTGCCCAGCGGCTTGGGAGACTGTTCGGTAAGTGGTCGTGTCGTCACAGTTTGCGAAGCCAGTCGCAACATACCGAAAATACCAGGTGATCATGGACATGCTCCGGCCGTAGAAAGTCGATTATCACTCAATCAGTGACATGCACGGCTGATCTCCGCATGTGTTAGGTATTCCATGTGCTGGCCACACCCCGAACAGAAGCTGGTAGCTATATGCGCCGCGTCAGGCCCTTGACATCTGATAATGAATTGCTCCGGCTTGATCTATTGAATCCTGAGGATGTTGCCGCGCTGCAATTTTCAATAATTGGTTCTGCACGCTTCCACTGGGTGGATCCGGGTGGATTGTCCGCTGGGGTGATTTAGTATATACCTAAATGTAGGGCTGCCGCATATAAGCCGAGTAGAAGTTGGCGTAATGCACGGAATGAGGGCGGGTCGGATATCGTCGTTATTGGGCACTCCGCGACGAATCCGTGTCATTGGACGCTCCCTGCCTGGTAAACGATGATGGGCCGACACAATTACAGTCTTATGGCGAGGAGGGCCACCCAGGAATCACCCCAATTCTGCCAAACGACGACCGGCCAAGCAAGGGTATTCACCGTCACAATTTCATACTGTAGCGAGTTGTGGGAGCCACGAAGTATAAAACCAGGCGGAGAGCAGCTGGAGCTTCAGCAACGAATTGACCCACTTCAATCGCTACTTTGCCCTCTCATGTCTATCCCGTCTGGTACCTATCTCATCGTCAGCGTCACTCGACCTGACTACTCTGTCATGATGTTTGGGGACCACAAGGAAGGCATCCCTATCCCTGCTGCTCCACTTCATAGTTGGCCCCAGGAGGTAGGCTCGATCCCTCCATTCCGCTGTAATAGCCCTTATACAGCTATCTTAGCATTTCATGCTCGAACAGGCCGGCGACGAGAGTAACAGATATACTGTAATGAATACCCACTATCAGTGGTATATTGGCGCTGACGTGGACAATATCCAAGTAACTGCTCAACTTTGTCTCGCACCAAAATGGACTATTAACCCGCATTGGCATAGGAATTCAACTATCCGTCCACGAGTTTTAGGCCATTCGAATGGTCGATTGAGCCGGCTGGCGGTGACACTTTCAAGTGAGTCTACTGTGGATGACCGTAGCCCATGTACCCGAATTGTTCCCTCGACAACAGGATTCATATCCCCAACATGGACGCGTATTGGAACCTGCCTGAAAGCGACAGGGAGCAGATTCGTGTAAGCCTCCTCAACAAGTAAAGTCTGGTTAGTTTCTGACAAGTCCAAATACGTAGATCATTGTCGAACCAACGCAAGGCCGTGACTCTGAGCTGTGGAGATTGCAGAAAATTGGCTGAGGATTTTGTAGTCTAGAACTGTTGTTATGAATGGAGGAATCATATGGATGTTGAAGCTCATAGTTTCGTTCCTGTACTGCGATTGGGGCGTCGCATTGGCTCCTGCGCATCTGCGGCAGTACAAACCTGAGCCAACCGCACCAAACCAACAGAAAGTTTACGGACGAACTCAACGAAACAGGAACTGTAAGTTTCCTCGCCTTCAGGGCTCCTGGAATACGAAAAAAGACCGTGTACTACGTATACGGTATGACATAGATGCCCCACCGACATCCGGATGTCATAGCGGAAGTACGCGCTGAGCACCAGGTAATCACGGATTCACGGGCATTATGCGCCTAGATGAGTTAGTTGTGCGCTGACGTAAAGATATAGTGATACGGGTATATTTTGCTTCTGGAGTGGATACTTGCGCAATCCGAACAACGCCACCCCAGCGCGGCATTTGGGGGTGGGTGGTCTCATTCGGTCTTGTGTTGATCCGAATACCGTGGTCGCCTATAGAACGAGTGTGATTTCTGGCAATACGCTGGAAACAGACCCATGCATTTGGAAAATTACCCTCTGGCCAGTCCCGAGCGATCCCCGTGGCGTGAGTACAACTCAACTCAATCTGAACAGGATGTTCATAAATCGTGCCAAATTATTCGCTTCCTTCGATCACCATCGATCTGGATCAATTGCAATGACACAACGGCGGTACGTAGAGGACGCATATATGAAGGAAAAACGGCTTCAATGGTAAATGAAATCCGGCGTCTGTAGGGTACATAGCAATTCAATCTTGTCGTTTGGACAGGCTCAGCCCGTCTGTAACGGGATCTGACAATGCCGTTTGGCTACCGTAGTTGGTACATGCTCGACGACTGCACGTCAACCTAATCGAGGAGTTGCGAGGTATTGCTGATCTCTATCGTAATGCAAGTACTTGGCGCGGATAATGCATGTGAAGATCTGGAGATCTCTTGAAGCAGCGAGTCTGTCGGAGCTATGGAAGGAGCCGTTTCGTGAAGAATCGACTCGAAAAATTCAGCAACCAGGTGGGGCGATGACCAAATCGTCCCTGATGATAGTACCCTATTGATTCATTGTTCGTCACCGCGAGATGAGCTTCTCCATTTTAGAAGTCGCTGCTTATGATACATCCGCACCTAATAGAACCGAGTCGCATTGATGCACGTGTCTGGGTGTTGCTGGACCACCTCATGAACCTTGCTTGAATGCTCGAGAAAATAACCATCAGTATGGTCGACCGCAGGCCGAATACCTGAGTATAGATAGATCAAATGCACCTCAGAGGTGTTGGCCACGACGGTAACATGATCGGCTGCCAGTGGGGCAGCCGATTTCCGCGCTGGAGCTAGGCGGAATGCCCATGTTGTGGCGAGGTAAATAACTGTAAGCACAAGTCGAGAGTACCGCAGTCCACACCTGCGTGTCAATAGCGTTGGTTTGGGACGGGACGAAAGCCCAGACGTCAGAAAAACTATCTCGTGCGGTGAGAGCACTATGCCGTCTCTTGTGCCGACCCAAGGCTCAGTGTCAGCCCCATGGCTGAACGCAATCTGAAGCCAGTCAGGTAAGCCTTGATGGTCTAGTGGTATGATTCACCCTTAGGGAGCTAGTTTCTCATTTGGGTGAGGTCCCGCGTTCAATTCGCGGTTGAGGCCTTCTTTTTGACATTTTTCTCTGGAACCAGGTTAATGCCCGCGGTCCGGATACAAGCGCCACTCAGCCTTTCCCTGGGTATTTGACGAGGCTAAGCACCATTCCAGAGTCAGTTGTTTGACGCAAGTCATTCCAGGCCCAAAATTGGTTTGCACATTACCTTACTCGGCAAGGTTCCACACGGCCATAATGTCACATAGGACTTCCCCCAATGTTTGGGCCTATTGACTATTACAAACCAGGACTCGAGACTCGAGAGTCTGGTTTATTCTTTCTTGTTCTTCTTTGTTCTTTGTTTGCTTTGTAACAAGTAAACAACCACATACACGTAGCCACGCTTACATCAGGAGAAAAAACGGGCTCAAACGCTTCAATTATTGAAGCAATCGAGCGATTGAGACCCGTGCTCAAAAATTGAAGCAATTGAGCCAGGGTCCTGCCTAAGGCAGTAGCAGGCCGCACAGGGCGCGGTCGGCTGACCATGGTGACGCCATCGGCCGGTTAGTCATACAAAATCACCGTGATAGTGATCGATATCTTGTAGCACACTGGACGAAAG